CAGCTGTCTGCCCACACCCACCCCCCAACCTTGACTCGGCCATTCCCTCCCCAGGGAGCAGGCCTCCCAGCAGCCACCCCACCCCCTCCAGCTGTAGCAGCCACGATGCGGGACCTGCGGGAAAGGCCCCTGGTCTGGTCCGGCCCCTGGCCACAGGACTGGCTGAGGCCGCGGCACACCCTCTAACACGGCTCAGTCCCAGGGAGGCCCAGGACGCTCCCTCCATAGTGCAGGCAGGGAGAAGCCTCTCCTTGGACGTGGCCTTGGAACATGAAGGCCCCAGTGTTGCGGGGTGCAGGAGACCCCAGGAGGCTGGAGCAGAGAGAGGCGGAGCCAGCGGTGACACTGCCGAGCCCCCAAGTGTCCTGAAGCGTTGCGTGTCTTCACACTACACAGCGAGACCGTCCCTCATCAGCCAGCGAGTGTGGCGCTGGTGGGCACCCTGCCAGCCGCCCTCAGAGGGCCCCACCCCGGCGGAGCACGGCTCTCACCGCTGTCGCACGGGGTCCTGAGCGCTGGGTTGCAGCCACCTGCTGATGCGGGGGCTCATCTGTGCCTGTCCCCGTCGCCCTTGAGGGTGTGTATGCAGCTGGCGCTCAATTAATGTCGTTCAGTGGCCCTGTTTCTTTGCTCCTCTTTCTCTGCCTTTGCTGATGCTGGTGCCACCGCCTGGAAGGCCCCCAACCCTCCATGATCACCATGGACTCAGCTTCCCAGCCGCAGGGCAGACGTCAGAGGTGCAGCCCCCCGCGGGCCTCCGGCTCCTCCCAGGGCAGCCCATCCTGGGAACCGTGCTCCACCCACCTGGTGCTTTATTTATCTATTGATATTTTATTTTTTGACAGAGTAGACGGTGAGAGAGAGAGAGACAGAGAGAAAGATCTTCCTTTGCCGTTGGTTCACCCTTCAATGGCCACTGCGGCCAGCGAGCTACGGCCGGCGCACTGCGCTGATCCGATGGCAGGAGCCAGGAGCCAGGTGCTTCTCCTGGTCTCCCATGGGGTGCAGGGCCCAAGCACTTGGGCCATCCTCCACTGCACTCCCGGGCCACAGCAGAGAGCTGGCCTGGAAGAGGGGTAAACGGGACAGAATCCGGCACCCCGACCGGGACTAGAACCCGGTGTGCCGGCGCCGCAAGGCAGAGGATTAGCCTAGTGAGCCGCGGCGCCAGCTATCTATTGATTTTTAAGATTTATCTATTTATTTGAAAGTCAGTTACACAGAGACAGAAAGAGTTCCTTCATCCACTGGTTCTCTCCCCAGACAGCTGGTCAAGGCCAGGGCTGGCCCAGGCCAAAGCCAGGAGCCAAGAGCTTCATCCGGGTCTCCTACGTGGTCGGCAGAGGCCTAAGCGCCCGGCCACCTTCTGCTGCTTTCCCAGGTCATTCGCAGGGAGCTGCGTTGGAAGTGGAGCAGCCGGGATGGGGTGGGCCCGGCAGGCGGCAGCTTTCCCAGCTACTCCACCCTGCTGGCCCCCACCTGGAGGTCCTGCTACGAGCCAGACACTGCCCCAGCAGCTGGGGACACAGCAGTGGACATGCCCCAAATCCCAAATGCACGGATCTCGCACTCAGGGAGGGAGGGGTCGTAACTCAGTGACTAAGGAAAGCACAGGGTCTGACAGCCGGGCACGGAGCCGGCGGAAAGGTGAAGGCAGCGGGGGGAGCAGGGCGTGCAGGCGGTCAGGCGCGCGCGGGCAGGTCCAGTGGAAGGCCTCACGGGGAGGAGACGCCGGAGCCGGGCGCGGATGCACCGGGGAGGAGATGTGATGTCGGAGCCGGGCGCGGATGCACCGGGGAGGAGACGCCGGAGCCGGGCGCGGATGCACAGAGAACACTGCGGGCAGGAACCGGCACCGGCCCTGGGCTAGCACAGGCCTGCTGTGTCCTCAGCCGGCAGGGAGACCGGGCCGGGAGCGAGGGGGCAGTGGAGAGGAGGCAGAGCGCCATGGCGGAGGTGGATTCGGATGAGGCTGAGCGTCTAGGTAAATGAAAAACTACCGGCGGATCTGGATCAGGGTGACCGGTCTGCACACTGTTTTTAAAGGACCCCTCTCGTTCCTAAAGGTTCGGCCCCCGCGGTGGTTCTGGGAGACGTGGGGTGCTCTGCATGGAGTGTGGTGTCGAGGCAGGGAGAAGTGAGAGCTCAGGCGTTTGTTCCGGGATTTGAGGGGAGCAGAGCAGTGAGAGCTGACTTAAGATTTTCGGCCTCGGGGCCAGCGTTGGGGCGCAGTGGGTCAAGCCACTGGCTGTGATGCTGGCATCTATATGAGCGCCAGTTCGAGTCCCGGCTGCTCCACCTCCAATCCAGCTCCCCCTAATGCACCAGGGAAGGCAGCGGAAGACGGCCCAGTGCTGGGGGCCCTGCGCCCGCGTGGGAGCCAGGGATGCAGTTCCAGGCTCCTGGCTTCAGCTTGGAACAGCTCCAACCGTAGCTCCCAGCTGGGGAGTGAACCACTGGATGGAAGATCTCCACCTCTCTCTCCCCTCTGCCTTTCAAGTAAAATAAAACCAATCTCTTAAAAAGACTTTCGGCGGCCAGTGCTGCGTCATAGCGGATGAAGCCGCCGCCTGCAGTGCCAGCAGCCCATGTGGGTGCCGATTCAGTCCTGGCTACTCCACTTCCAGTCCAGCTCTCTGCTGTGGCCTGGGAAAGCAGTAGAAGGTGGCCCAAGTGCCTGGGCCCCTGCACCTGCATGGGAGACCCGGAGGAAGCTCCTGGCTCCTGGCTTCAGATCAGCCCAGCTCTGGCCATTGTGGCCATTTGGGAGTGAGCCAGCGGATGCCCTCTCTCTCATAAATAAATAAATCTTTTTTTTTTTTTTAAAGATTTTTGATCTGAGAAGCCGGCAGGCAGGAAGAAGCTGTCGCTGACAAAGGCAAGGAGGGGGGAGAAGCAGGGTGGAAGGACCACTGGGAGTCGGGTCTCAGGCCCGCGAGACGTCCTGATGGAGCCGCCGAGCGGGCAGCCAGGGTGTGGCCGAGATCGCGACTGAAGACGCACAGCAGAGAAACAGCCCCGGGGGAACTGGACCGAGCGGGCGTGGAGGGGAAGCTCAGACGGCATCTGGGCTTTCGCGCCAGCGGTCAGGCCAGGAACAGGAAGCAGCGAGAAGGAGCCAAGGAGGCGGGGAGGGAGGGGCTGACAGCCTGAAAGCCAAGAGCTTTCAAGGAAGAGGGCGTGGCTGGCCGTGCCAGAGCTACCGAGGTGGACACAGCGGGCGCACTGGGGGGCTCACAGACGCCTTGGACAGGAGGGGACCATCACTGCACACTGCCCACTGCGCGGGCCTCGGATGAGCATTCACTGTTACTGTGCATGACGCCTTCCAGAACCTTCTGACTGGTCTGCTCGGTCTTACCTCCTGCTATCCAAGAACAACTGCCACCTAGGTGATCGCCTTAACATGCAGAACAGGGGCCGGCGCTGTGGTGCAGTGGGTTAACGCCCTGGCCTGCAGCGCGGGCATCCCATATGGGCGCCGGTTTGAGTCCCGGCTGCTCCACTTCCCATCCAGCTCTCTGCTGTGGCCCGGGAGAGCAGTGGAGGGTGGCCCAAGTGCTTGGGCCCCTGCACCGGCATGGGAGACCTGGAAGAAGCTCCTGGTTCCTGGTTTTGGACTGGACCAGCTCCAGCTGTTGCAACCATTTGGGGAGTGAACCAGCGGATGGAAGACTCTCTCTCTCTCTCTCTGCCTCTGTAACCTTCAAATAAATACATCTTTAAAAACATCCTTTATGGGCAATGAAATTTAAACTTCAAACAACTTCTCCTGTTAAGAAATACTGTTTTGTCCCCCCAACCGCTTTAACACATCAACAGCACGGGTGCTGGTCAAGGGCGCAGTCCAGACACCATGCTCGGCCCCAGCCCCCGCAGCCAGGGGGCCCCAAGGCCCAGCCGCGCTGTCAGCGCCGCGCGTCCCCATGGGAGCCGCTGCCCCTGCTTCCCGGCCCGCCCGGCGGAGTTCCAACAGGACCTGCTCGCGAACACGTGGCCCTCCCTCGTCTCCAGACCTCTTCCTCTCTCTCTCCTTAGCAGCTTCACAAAGACCAAGCCGGGGTGTAGTAAAACGGCGCCGTCTTCCTAAGCCCGGCCCGGCTCAGCCGAGCGCGGGCTTCCCAAGGCCCAGCCGCAGGGTCAGCTCCAGCCCACGCTGAGGGGCCTGGCCGGCCACGTCCTCCCTCCGCACGGCCCCGGAGGCCCCGTTCGCCACAGGCCGCTGCTCTGCGCGCCAGGGCCCCCCCCACAGTAACCCTGCCCCTCACTCCGGCGTCTGGTGTTCTGTGGGGGCCCACGGGCCGCGGGACACGCCAGGCCCACACCCGTCTGCCTGTCCACCAGACACGGGCCAGCGGCGCGGCTGCCCCCGCGGGACGGCCTGTGCGTCTGGAACTTTCTCTGGGTCCCTTCAAGCCTTCTTTCCAATAGTTAAGCTTTCAGCCAGTGCTGCCCGGCTACTCCAGCCCGACCGCCCGCGCCTGACCACCCTGCTCGGGTTTTCGGGGTTCCCCAACACTCAGCCCTGAAACAGAGGCAACCGCGGCCATTAACCCTCCCCTCCCCGCAACTTCCAGGAACGCGAGCTCCGCCAGGGGAGGGGTCTGTCCGCTCGCCCCCACGCGCTCCAGGGCCGGCAGTGGAGCCCGGCACACGGCGGGAACTCACCGCACGTCTACAGGCCGCAAAAATAACGCACACACCGGTTCTCAACCAGGAACTCGGGGTACGAGGTTAGACACCCGCGCCCCCGCGCCTCGAACTCGGCCCCGCAGCCGTCCTGCTACTCCCGCCCACTTGTCCAACTTGGCCACGCCCACCGCCCGCCCTCAGGCCCGCCCCGCGCCCAGCACGCGCACCCGGCGCCGGGCGACGCCTCCCGCCGCCACTAGGAGACTCCCGAACGCGGCCGCCCGTCCGAGCCCAAACACTAGTCCCACGTGACCCGCGCCGCAGCCACGTGACCGGCGTCGCACCCGGTGGGCGTCACGTGACGGACTCAGTTTTCCTCCAATCGCGGCGCACGTTGTGGAGGTTCCACCCAAGACCTGGCCCGAGGCTCCGAGCAGCCCATTTTCGCGCCGGCCAAAAGGGCTAGCTCCCCGCTTCCAGCCGGGCGGCGGTGTCCCTCAAGGGTCCTTTACTAAACAGGCTCAGAGGGCCCGGGTCTGCGGCGATCGCGATCCCGGAAGTGACGTCTCCCAGAGGGGCCGGAAGTGGCAGTAGAGGGAGGGAAGATGGCGGAGGTGGTGAGTCCGGTGCCCGGGGCGGGGCGGAGGGAACCAGGGGAGGTGGGTAGAGCCCGCGGCCCCACAGTAGCCGACCCTGGCGCCGCGCTGTCTCCCCAGGGGGAGATAATCGAGGGCTGCCGCCTACCTGTGCTGCGGCGGAACCAGGACAACGAAGATGAGTGGCGTGAGTGACGTCGGGGGGCGGGGCTAAGAAATACGAGGCGGGAGGGAGTCAGCCGAATGGGGCGGGGCTTCTAGAATGCTGGTGCGGGCGGGGCGCTGGCGCTCCAAAGGAGGGGCGTGGCTTCTAGCCGTTCCGACCTGGACAGGGCGGGGCCTGGAGAGTGGGTTGCACTTGGTGTCTGAAGGGGGCTTGGGCGCGAGCTGCGCAGTGCTGGGGCGCAGGGATCCGGCCGAGGGGTGGGGCTCGGGTCCTAGGAGGGTGGCGTCTCGGGGCCCTGCCCGTCTAAGGCCTCTGCCTGTGCCGTTCCCATAGCCCTGGCCGAGATCCTGAGCGTGAAGGACATTAGTGGCCGGAAGCTCTTCTACGTCCATTACATTGACTGTGAGTCCTGGGCCTGGCTGAGGTGGGGCTGCGGGGCGGGCGCGGGGCGGGGGCAGCCTCTGGCATTCCGTCCTGAGCCATGCCCACCGCTGCAGTCAACAAACGCCTGGATGAATGGGTGACCCACGAGCGGCTGGACCTAAAGAAAATCCAGTTCCCCAAGAAAGAGGCCAAGACCCCGACCAAGAACGGACTGCCTGGGTCCCGCCCCGGATCTCCCGAGAGAGAGGTGGTGAGTAGGGCCCCACTCCACCTCTCCTGCCTCCTACTCTTCTCGTCTCTCGGCCTTAGGGGGCTCCTGGCTGGGCAGGAGGCAGCACCCCCCGCCCCGACTCCAGCTTGCAAAGCATGGGGCCAGGTTGCAGATGTAGCTTCCGGTCCAGTGGCCAGTCCTTGAGAAGGCAGCGGGCGGGGCTCAGTCACTCCACGCCGAGGGGGCCCCTCGTCCCCTGCGCCTCCCCACCCCAGAGGAAGACCCTGGACCTATCTCTGCAGCCGGCCTCCGCCCAGGCCAGCGGGAAGACCTTGCCAATCCCGGTCCAGATCACGCTCCGCTTCAACCTGCCCAAGGAGCGGGAGGCCATTCCCGGTGGTGAGCCCGACCCGCCGCTGTCCTCCAGCTCCTGCCTGCAGCCCGGCCACCGCTCCACGGTACCCTCAGCACTTCAGGGACCTTCTTTCCTCTCAGGTCCCCCTTCCCTACCTTCTCACCCACCGGCCTCGGTTTCCCTCTGCAGAAACGGAAGGTGGAGGTGGTGTCGCCAGCGACTCCCGTGCCCAGCGAGACGGCCCCGGCCTCCGTGTTCCCCCAGGTAGGCCCGAGCCGTCTCGTCTCACTGCCCTGCCTGCCCTGCCCCCGCCGGCGTCTCCGGCTCAGCTCACAGCCCCCCGCATTCCCGCCGTCTCTTCACAGAATGGGTCAGCCCGTAGGGCGGTGGCAGCGCAGCCAGGGCGGAAGCGGAAGTCAAACTGCTTGGGCACGGACGAGGTGGGTCTGGGGGCTGGGTGGGGAGGGGCCGTGGAGGCGGGTGGGCGGGGGCTGGGCCTGGTCTCTGAGAAGTGGGGTCACAGCAGCTGCCCCGGGGTCGCAGACGGGCGGCGTGTGGCTCCTGTAACGTGCCGTCTCCCCCGGCCCCGGCAGGACTCCCAGGACAGCTCCGATGGCATCCCGTCGGCTCCGCGCATGACTGGCAGCCTGGTGTCCGACCGGAGCCACGACGACATCGTCACTCGGATGAAGAACATCGAGTGCATCGAGCTGGGCCGGCACCGCCTCAAGCCGTGGTACTTCTCCCCGTACCCGCAGGAGCTCACCGCGCTGCCGGTCCTCTACCTGTGCGAGTTCTGCCTCAAGTACGGCCGCAGCCTCAAGTGCCTGCAGCGCCACCTGGTAGGCGGAGCCCAGGAGCACCCGCCCTGCGCCCCCCGCCCCCCAGAGTCCAGGAGCACCCGCCCCACATCCCCGCGCCCCCCAGAGTCCAGGAGTGCCCACCCTGCGCCCCCCGTGCCCCCCAGAGTCCAGGAGCACCCGCCCCGCCCCCCAGAGTCCAGGAGCACCCGCCCCGCCCCCCAGAGTCCAGGAGCGCCCCTGCGCCCCCCAGAGTCCAGGAGCGCCCGCCCCTGACCCTCCTCTCCTCCTCAGACCAAGTGCGACCTGCGCCACCCCCCTGGCAACGAGATCTACCGCAAGGGCACCATCTCCTTCTTCGAGATCGACGGGCGCAAGAACAAGGTCAGTGGCCGCGGGCAGCGGGCGGCTGCTGCTTGCTCAGGGGCACACTGGCCTGTCCAGCCGACAGCTTTGTTCAGCCCGTGGTGTTAAGAAAGGTTTGTTTATTTGAAAAGCAAAGTTAGAGCGTGGCATCCGCTGGTTCACGCCCCAAATGACCACGAGGCCGGGGCTGGGCCAGGAGCCTGGGGCTCCATCCGGGTCCCCGCACGGGTGCAGGGGCCCGAGCGCTTGAACCATCTTGCGCTGCTTTCCCGGGCCACAGCAGGGAGCTGGGGTGGAAGCAGAGCAGCCGGGTGTTGCAGGAGACGGCTTAACCCGCCGTGCCAAGGCCAGCCCCGTGATCGGCCTTGACCTCCGCCGTAGGTGGGCTCTGGCAGGGCACGGCAGACAGAGCTCCTGAGAACTCGGGTTCTGTGAGGGCAGGGGAGGCGGGGAGGGGACCCAGGAGTGGAGTGGGGCTCGGAGGGACAGAGGAGGGGGGAGGCGGCAGGAATGCAGGGACGGGAGCAGGCTCAGCTGGGAGAAAGGCTAACTTGAGACTGGAGCGCGAGGGGGGGCGGCCCTGGCCTGCGTGCAGGGAGTTTGAGAGGCGGCAGCTGCCTACGCACCCCTCCGCGTGAAGTGTGGACTGGGCACCCGCGTGGCAGTGCGCAGGTGAGGAGCCAGGGGTGAGGTTTCTCCTGGAGTTGTGTGCAGAGGCAGTCCCCTGAGGGTGGGGGCCCTGCTGGTCCTCGGTGAAGAGGCAGAGCCCCGCCCTCCCTCGGGGAGCGGCAGGTGCAGCCGTGGGGTGAGTGGAGAGCTGGGTCTGCTGACAGCGACTCCCAGCACTGCCACACAGGGGCTCCCTCGTGTCCTGGCCGGAGACACTTCCTGCGTTCCAAACTGTACGCTGGTGTCCAGCACAGCAGGGCCAGGGAGCCGCCCTGGGCCCTGCTGAGACGGAGAAGGGGCGGGCAGCGGGGCAGACCCTCCGTCCCCAGGGAGGTAGCTGGACGCTGTCACAGCGCGCGGGCCCCAGGCAGGGACGACCCCACCCGCTGGCCTGGCCCAGGGGCCCTCTCGGGTGGCACCGCCAGTGGGAACGGGCTCTCCCTCTCCCCCCGCAGAGTTACTCCCAGAACCTGTGTCTGCTGGCCAAGTGCTTCCTGGACCACAAGACGCTGTACTACGACACAGACCCCTTCCTCTTCTACGTCATGACGGAGTACGACTGCAAGGGCTTCCACATCGTGGGCTACTTCTCCAAGGTCAGCGCCTGCCCGCTGTCCCCGGGGGGCCCTGGGGTGGGCGCAGACCCTGCCCTCACGCTCGCCCACCCCTCCTGCAGGAAAAGGAGTCCACGGAAGACTACAACGTGGCCTGCATCCTCACCCTGCCCCCGTACCAGCGCCGGGGCTACGGCAAGCTGCTGATTGAGTTCAGTGAGTATGTGGCCGCCCCGCCCAGGGCCCGTGCACTGCCGCTGGTGCCTCAGGCCACACGCCCACGGCTGTCCCCCGCTGTGCAGCCCGGCCAAGGGGGTCGGCCAGGAACCAAGCTGGGGCTCGCCGAGGTCTCACACTCCAGGGTGACTGCTGCCACCCCATCTTGGCCAGGGCCCCAAACCTCAGCCCACTCTCCCAGATCTGGCTGACCTGCTGCTGCCCACGGCTGTGGCATGAACCCGCACAGCTGAGCAGGAACCCAAGGGTGCCCACCCCCTCTGTGCAGGGTCCTTGTAGGCACAGCAGGTCAGGGTGGACGCTGGGACTGGCCAGTGTGCAGCAAGGGCAGGAGAGCAGACAAGCGCGACCGGCCCAGGGCCTTGCCCCTCGGGGTCTGGTGGGGCCGAAGGGGCTTGCGAGGAGCTAACTTCTCGTGGTCAGCTGGAGCAGGGCAGGGGCAGGGAGGCCTCTCTCCAGCTGGGAAGCGCTTGGTCAAGCTCCTTCCTCACCACCACGCAGCCCGCTCCATCCCAGAGCAGCTGGTCCCAGCCAGAATGTGACGGACAGAGGGCGGGGTCTGCCCTGCCTCCCTCTGCACCCACACAGCAACGGCCAAGGACATGGGCACCCCCCCAGCCTCGGCTGACTGCAGGTGCCCCCCCCAGCACCCAGGCCAAGGGCGAGCGCCTTCAGGTGGTGGGCAGAGAAGCCACGTGGCTCTAATTCTTAAATGCTTTTCATTTTATTCGAAAGGCAGAGAGAGGTGTGGTCAGGGGTTCACTCCCCAGTTGCCCACAGCAGGCAGGGCCGGGCCAGGCTGAAGCCAGCAGCCTGGAGCTCCGCAGGGCCCCACTGGGCGGCAGGGCCCCAGGTCCCTGGTCCGCCTGCACCCGCCAGGCTGCAGGTTAGCGGGTGGAGCAGCGGGTGCCGACCCGGCCCCCTGCTGCAGGATGTGCCTGCCGCGTTGCCGCTGCCTGACCGCTTACCCACCTCTCCTGCTCCCCTGCTCCAGGCTATGAGCTCTCCAAGGTGGAAGGGAGAACGGGGACCCCAGAGAAGCCGCTGTCGGACCTGGGCCTGCTGTCCTATCGCAGTTACTGGTCCCAGACCATCCTGGAGATCCTGATGGGGCTCAAGTCCGAGAGTGGGGAGCGGCCGCAGATCACCATCAAGTGAGCCGGCCGCCCCCGGGGGTGCGTGGCTGTGCCCGCCCCGGGGCCGCCGGAGACCTGACCTTTGCCCTCCCGCAGTGAGATCAGCGAGATCACCAGCATCAAGAAGGAGGACGTCATCTCCACGCTGCAGTACCTCAACCTCATCAACTACTACAAGGTGGGGCGGGCGGCCAGGGCCGGGCAGTCGGGAAGCCGGTGCGGGCCGGGCGCTGACCCCTGCCGGGCCCTCTCTCGCCCAGGGCCAGTACATCCTCACGCTGTCCGAGGACATCGTGGACGGACACGAGCGGGCAATGCTGAAGCGGCTGCTGCGCATCGACTCCAAGTGTCTGCACTTCACCCCCAAGGACTGGAGCAAGCGGGGGAAGTGGTGACCGGACCTCCGGGCGCGGAGCCGGCGAGCACGGGACCCGGCGCCCCCAGCAGGCACAGCGCGCGAGGCGCGCAGGGCAGCGCCAGACGGGGCTGGGCCCGCAGGGGCCACGGGTCAGCGCCCAGGCTGAGCTGGCTGCGGGCCCGGCCTGCCCTGACCAGGGACCAGGAGGAGCCGGGCGGCTTGTGCAGTGCGCAGGGGCTGGGGGCAACTGTACAGGACACTTTCACTGTAAAAATAGCTTTTGTAAAGTAGAAGGTGGGGGTGGGGTGGCCCTGGCTGCGGCCCCCGCACCAGGCAATAAATCGTTTCCGTAGGCGGAGCCTCCAGGGTTCTGCACAGCTGCGGTGCGGGGCGTACTGGTCGGCAGGTGGGGACGGGCTCCGGCTCTCAGTCCTCGGCCACCTGAGCGTGAATCTGCAAGAGGAGCCGCCTGTAACCGTGCGGGGGCCCGGCCGCCCCCACTGACCCCGTCCGGCGTGGGGGGCCCCGCGCCGCAGCGACCCCGCCCGCCCGTGCACTCACCGCGGCCGCGAGGCTCGGCCAAGTCAGGGCCCCGCGCACTTTGGCGTCGGGGCCCGGCACGGTCTCCAGGCCCCACAGCGTGAAGCGGCCGAAGCTGGCGGTGGCGCCCAGAAAGCGGTCCTGGGGAGGGAGGCGGCTCAGCCCGGCCCGGCCCCGCCGCCGCGCCCGCGCCCGCCCCGGGCCCGCCGTGGCTCACCAAGTCCCGCTCCAGCGGCGCCCGCTCCGCGTCCCCGGACCCCGGCCGCCCGTCTGCCTTCTCGGCCGCCAGGACGTAGCCCGCGAAGCCGGCCGGCACCGCCACCTCCTCGCCCCGCAGGCCGCGTCCCCGAAACGACGCCTGGAGTCCTGCAGGAGGGAGGCGCAGGGCCCGCTCAGGGACACCCGGGCCCGGCGCAGCTGGCCCACGACCCCGCCGCCGGGACTACGGCTCCAGGCGCCCTCGCAGCGCGCGCCGGGGAGCCGCGGGGAGGCGGCCGCCAGCTCACCGTCGGGGCCTCGGCGGACGGCGGGCGTGAAGAAGCGACGCACGGGGGCGGGCCGGCTCGCCAGGACCTCGCAGGGCAGCAGGTGCAGCGTGCCGGGGGCCGCGCCGCGCAGGGAGTCGGGGCGCAGGTGCACGCGGTGCCCCTCCACGGCCGCCTCGCCCGCGCCCTCCATTCCGCGCCGCTAGTCCGTCGCTCGCGGGCGGAGGCCGAAGCTGGCGCGTAAAGCGCGCGGGGCCTCTCGGGAGGTCGGGCGCCGCGGAGCGTCACGGGAAATGTAGTCCTTCCGGGATCCCGCCCGCAAGCCCCGCCCCTCCGCGGAAAGTCCCGGGTGGTTCAGTCACGCAACAAGGCGGGCTCTGCGGGCAAACACGCGCGCACGCGACCGGCCGTGTGCGCGGCGCCCCCGCGGGACCCGCGAGCCGGCCGTGGAGAGTAACGGAAGCGGCGCCCCAGGGCAGCGGCTGTGGCGGCGGGGACCAGGCCGCGCCGCAGCGTTGGGGCCGCCCGCCGTGGCCCTGTCCGCGCGGGGCCGTGGGCCTCGCCCCGCCTGGGGGAGGCCCTGCCTGGGCTGTGTCCGGGACGCCGACGCCCGCGGTGCGTGATGGAGCGGCCGCTCCCGTCGCCTCTGGGCCCGCCGCGTTCTAGATTCGTCGTGCAAACCGCAGACGCACGCGGGAGACGCCCACGCGCCTGTGCAATCGGACTCTGCAGACACAAGCGGTGCGCTCGCAGACGGGGCGGCTGTGGGGCGTGCAGAGCGGGCGCTGGAAAATGGAAGTGAAGATCAGGGGTCAGGGCCGGCCGCCCGCAGTGCCGCATCCCGCGTGGGCGCCGGTTCGAGTCCCGGCTGCTCCGCTTCCAGTCCGGCTCCCTGTTGATGCGCTGGGACCGCAGTGGAGATGACACAAGTACCGGGCCCTGCACCCGCGTGAGAGACCTGGAAGAAGCCCCTGGCTTCAAATGCAGCCATTTGGGGAGTGAACCAGCGGATGGAAGTCTCTCTCTCTCTCTGCCTCGCCCTGCCTGTGACTCTGATTTTCAAAAACAGGTTATTCCTGGTGCAGCTTTGAAACCCATGCATTTTCTTTTCATAATACACATTTCCATGACCTTTTAAAGAACGCGGCCCCTGTCCCCAGGGGCCAGATACTTACTAATTTTTTTTTGATAAATTATTTTGCTGTTCCCAATAGTTTATTTTCTTGGTTTCCCCCAGTTAGTCATCTCTCTCTCAAATACAGATAACTGTGCTGCTTCGTTCCATCTTGCAATTTCTTTTCTTTTTTAAAAGATTTATTTATTTTTACTTGAAAGAGTCACACGCGCGCGCGCACACACACACACACACACACACACGGGTCTTCCGTCTGCTGGTTCACTCCCCAATGGTCTCAATGGCCAGAGCTGGGCTGATCTGGAGCCAGGAGCTCTTCCGGGTCTCCCACACGGGTGCAGGGGCCCAGGGACTTGGACCATCTACTGCTTTCCCAGGCCACAGCAGAGAGATGCATCGGAAGTGGAGCAGCCGGGACTTGAACCAGTGCCCATGTGGGATGGCGGCACTGCAGGCGGCAGCTTTAACCTGGGCCGCAGCACCGGCCCAGGGTTTCTTTTTAAATCGGGAACAGATCGTTGGATCTGTCTTGATAGCTTTGGTCCTGTTAGGTTCCCGCTGCCTGGGTTCTGTGATGTCACGTTCATGGGCCTCTGCATTTTGGTGAATCAGGAAGTGGGTCTAGAAGTTCCGCTGGGCTCCTCGGGAGGGGCGCGCTGCAGCGAGACTGGGGGCGTTGCTGTCTGCCCGGAGGGACCTCGCGGCTCTCAGCCGTGGGTGGCCACTGCCTGGGTGGTTTAATTCCTTCAGGTTACAAAGCTGACTTTTCAAGCCCACTGCGCCTTCTCCCTGGCTGAACCACTGCTGTAAAGTCCACTCCCTGCTGTCAGCGGTGAGCGCAAGAGAGCAGGAGTGATCGCTGGATGCCTTTTCTGTTTGTAGACCGAGGCGCTGTTTCTCTAGCGCATTGCACGGCGACCTTTCAAAACGCACGATTGTTAGGGTGGGCGCTGTGGTGGCGCCGCTAAGCTGCTGCTTGGGACGCCTGCATGCCAATTCTTTCTGTTTCTTTTAATGTAAAGATTTATTTATTTGAAAGGCAGAGAATCAGGGCTGGGCCAGGCTGAAGCCGGGAGCGTCCTCTGGGTCCCACGTGGGTGCAGAGGCCCAGGCGCTTGGGCCGTTGGATGAAAGATGATCCTCGCCCATCCGTCCCTCTGCCCTTCTGACAAAATGAAAATAAATAGGAATTTTAGATAAAATGCATCGTTGAACGCTGGGTCTCACGCTTCTGAATCTTTGCCTGGGACCCTAGTTGTCTTTTTTTAAAAAATTACTTATTTTAGAGGCAGAGCAGTGGCGGGGCGAGGTGGGGGTGGCCGTCTGTCTGCGGGTTCACTCCCCAGGTGGCTGCAAGGCCAGGGCCTTGACCTCCATCCCGGGCTCCCAGGGGAGCGGCAGGGCCCAAGCGCTGGTGCGGGATGCTGGCACCACGACCCCCACACTGACACCGGCCCCCCGGTTATCTGCTGTCCTGTACCTGGGGCGCCAGCTTTCCTGCCCGGACGTGGACCCTGGGTTCCTTTTACAGGGAGAGACGTTGTGGTGGAGTCAGGCGCCGGAGGTGTCCTTCTGCTGAGCTGGCTGTTCTTTTAGAAGCTTTCAGCGGATGAAGCTAGAAAACGCGGATCTTTTTTTAAAGGTTTATTTATTTATTGAGAAGCAGAGTTAGAGGAAGAGAGAGAGAGAGGTAGAGGTAGAGAGAGGCAGAGGCAGAGAGAGAGCGCGAGGTCTTCCGTCTGTGGTTCACTCCCCAAATGGCCGAAATGGCCGGAGCTGAGCTGATCCGAAGGCAGGAGCCAGGAGCCTCCTCCAGGTCTCCCACGTGGGTGCAGGGGCCCAAGCACTGGGCCATCTTCCACTGCTTTCCCAGGCCACAGCAGAGAGCTGGATCAGAAGTGGAGCAGCAGGGACTCGAAACGGCGCCCACATAGGATGCCGGAACTGAAGACAACGGCTTTACCCGCTACGCCACAGTGCTGGCCCCATGATTAGCATTTTATATGATTCCATTTTCTCTCCTTAGCACATCACTTAGGCTTAAAAAGCTTTGTTTTCAGTGACTGCCCTAGAGTTCCAGTTTGTAGGGCTTTTAGACATTCATAATTACACATTTCTAGTCAATCTAGGTCCATTTCCAGATGCCAACACCACTTCTTGGGTAACTGCAGGTGTCTTCTAATGAAATCCTGTCCCGGCCGTCGCCGCGGCTCACTAGGCTAATCCTCCACCTTGCGACGCCGGCACACCGGGTTCTAGTCCCGGTCGGGGCGCCGGATTCTGTCCCGGTTGCCCCTCTTCCAGGCCAGCTCTCTGCTGTGGCCAGGGAGTGCAGTGGAGGATGGCCCAAGTGCTTGGGCCCTGCACCTCATGGGAGACCAGGAGAAGTACCTGGCACCTGGCTCCTGGCTTCAGATCAGTGCAGTGCGCCGGCTGCGGCAGCCATTGGAGGGGGAACCAACGGCAAAAGGAAGACCTTTCTCTCTGTCTCTCTCTCACTGTCCACTCTGCCTGTCAAAAAAGAAAAAAAAAGAAGAAATCCTGTCCCGTGTCATCTCCTGGCCGTTAATGTTGCCTGTCCGTCTGCCACACTCAGTGCGCTGTGCAGTTACCTGTCTGATCAATTGGGAATAATGAAAAGATTTTGTTTTACCTTAATTTATTCATCCTCTGATGCACTTCCTGTTGTATGTAGATCTGCATTCCCGGCATTTATAATTTTCCTTCTTTATAAAATGTAACTTGTCAAAGATTATTTATTTATTTGAAAGGCAGAGGGGAGAGAGAGAGGAGGAGGTCTTCCCTCTGCTGGTTCAGTCCCAGTAGCCCAGGAGGGCCAGGCGGAAGCCAGGAGCCCTGCGCCTCGCTCTGGTCTCTCATGGGAGCGCTTAGGGACCTGGGCTGGAAGCAGGATCACTCGGACCCGGGACGCTGCCTCTCAAGTGGCGGCTTAGCCCGCCGTGGCCGTCCAGCCACTCTTGCGAGGTGGGTCCACTGAGGACAGAGACTCAGGCTGGGAAGGCCCCCGTCACTTTTGGAGGTTAATTTAATGCGCAGACAATTCTAGATTGTCGTCATTTTTCTTCTTCATTTAACGCTTGAGAATGTCCCTGCACCCGCAGGAGATGAGGGCCTGGGGTGATTGCGGTCCTGTTCCTCTGGGGGGAGGGGTCTCCCCCTCCGGCTTCTGTTACGATTTCTCCAGCGTGAATGCTCGCCCAGCAGCAGGGTGGCCGCGGCCACGTCCGAGTAGCTGCTCCTGACCGTGGCTTCCTGCTGGTGCCGTCCTGCGGGTGGCTGGGCCCCTGCCACCCACACACGAGACCCCGATGGCTTTCCCGGCTCCTGGCTTCGGCCCAGGTCTGGCTCTCACTGTTGCCGGCATTTGGGAGTGAACCAGTGCATGGGGAATCTCCCTGTCTTGTCTTTCTGCCTCTCAAGTAGTTTTTTTTAAAGATTTATTTATTTATTTATTTGAAAGGCAGAGGGAGAGCTTCCATCCGCTGGTTCTCTCCCCAAATGGCGACAATTTTTAATTTTTTTTATATATATATATTTTCTCAGGGCCAGTGCTGTGGCATAGTGGGTAAAACCACTGCCTGCGGTGCCGGCATCCCATATGGATGCCGGTTCATGTCCCAGCTGCTCCTCTTCTGATCCAGCTCTCTGGGAAAGCAGTAGAAGATGGCCCAAGTCCTTGGGCCCCTGACCCCACGTGGGAGACCTGGAAGAAGCTCCTGGCTTCAGATCGGTGCAGCTCCAGCCATTGCAGCCAACTGGGGAGTGAACCGACAGAAGGAAGACCTCTCTCTCTGTCTCTTCCTCTCTGTCTGTAACTCTACCTCTCAAATAAATAAATAAAATCTTAAAAAAAAAAAAAAAAGGCCTTCGAGGTTTATCCGTAGTCCGACGTCAGAATGCCCTCCTCTTTGCGGTGGATACTACTTTTCCTGTGTACACGCCACACTTACCATCCAGTCGGCTGTCAGTGGACAGTCTGTGGTGGTTTTGCACTGTTTTTAAGTTTTATTTATGTGAAAGGCACAGGAAGACGTGCGCGAGAGAGAATCTTCCATCTACTTCTTTACTTCCCAGATGTCCACGACAGCCCAGGCTGGGCCAGGCTGAACCCAGGAACTCAGACTCCACCCGTCTCCCACGTGGGTGGCAGGGCCCAAGGTACCGAGCCTCACTGCTGCCTCTCAGGGTGCGCACTAGTGGGAAGCTGGTTTGCACGGAGCCAGGACCCACACCCCATTTTCATGCCAGTCTCCCATCTCAGGGCACCACCCGAGTCCCGGCTGCTCCACCTGCAACCCAGCTCCTCGCTAATGTGCCTGGGAAGGCCGTGGATGATGGTCCA